CTAGATACGTTCACTTAACACTGAGACTCTACTTTAACTAGATACGTTCACTTAACACTGAGACTCTACCTTCACTAGATACGTTCACTTAACACTGAGACTCTACCTTCACTAGATACGTTCACTTAACACTGAGACTCTACCAACTAGATACGTTACTTAACACTGAGACTCTACCTTAACTAGATACGTTCACTTAACACTGAGACTCTACCTTAACTAGATACGTTCACTTAACACTGAGACTCTACCTTAACTAGATACGTTCACTTAACACTGAGACTCTACCTTAACTAGATACGTTCACTTAACACTGAGACTCTACCTTAACTAGATACGTTCACTTAACACTGAGACTCTACTTTAACTAGATACGTTCACTTAACACCGAGACTCTACCTTAACTAGATACGTTCACTTAACACATAGCGTAACCTGATTGTATTGTAACGTAATTTAACCTCATCTTATCGTAACCTAACTTAATCCTCTCATATCCTTACCTAACTTAACCAAATCCTTACCTAACTTAACCTAAATCTAAACTAGCTTAACCTAAACATAACATAACTTAACCTAACCTAAACCAAACCTAACTTAACGTATCGTAAACCTAACGTAATCTAACGTAAACCTAACCTTAATCCAGCCCTCAAGAGTGTCTTATGGATAACAATAATTCCTATATGAATAACACAATGGGAAATGACATTGAAAAATTCACTCAATTTCTCTTTCTTGTGTGTGTCGTTTCTCTCTCTCTCTCTCTCTCTCTCTCTCTCTCTCTCTCTCTCTCTCTCTCACCCTTCATCCCCCCCCCCTCCTTCTCCTCTCCACGTCACCGGGGTTAAACACGCTTAAAGCTGACCTTAGCAGACCTCTCTTATGGACAGTTTGTTGTGATTTTCCCGCTAGATTGAGATTTATAACACGTCCGACAGTTTGTTTTACTTTCCCGCCAGATTGAGAGGTTTTTAGGGATATGGGACAGTTTGTTGGTATTTCCCCGCTAGATTGGGAGATTTAACACGCATTCGACAGTTTGTTTTATTTACCCGCCAGATTTTGAGAGATTTTTAAGTAAAGGCTATTGAGCTGTTTTAATTTTCCCGCCAAACGGATTTTCTTTTGGGACGTGCGAGTTTTTTTTGTTTTTCCGTCAGATTTTGATGGTTTTTGTCGATGGATCTAATGGTTAGGTTTGGATAGGTTAAGATAGGATAAGGTAGGTTACTGGAGGATAGGTTAAGTCGGGTTAAGATAGATTAGTATTAGGTTAAGCTGTTAGGTTATGATGGGACGGCTAGGATAGGCTAGGTTAGGTTAGGATAGGACAGGTTAGGAGGCTAGGTTAGGAGAGGATAGGATAGGAGAGGATAGGTTAGGTTAGGAGAGGATAGGACAGGTTAGATAGATAGGACAGGTTAGGAGGCTAGGTTAGAGAGAGATAGGACAGGTTAGGGAGGCTAGGTTAGAGAGGATAGACAGGTTAGGAGAGCATAGGACAGGTTAGGAGGCTAGGTTAGGAGAGGATAGGACAGGTTAGGAGGTTGGGAGAGGATAGGACAGGTTAGGAGGCTAGGTTAGGGGAGGATAGGACAGGTTAGGAGGCTAGGAGAGGATAGGACAGGTTAGGAGGCTAGGTTAGGGGCATCAACAGTACTTGGCAGCGTCCCCAGTATGGCGTCAGTGCTCCTACAGCGCCGCCGTCAGTAGTGGGGAATGTTAAAGCCAGATGGACTCTTTCAACACCACGCTACCGCTACGGTCTCCTGCTGGTCAGGTGGGCCCCTGTCCTGACGGGCCCTTAACCTAATCTGTACTGGTGGACCCTTAACCCAAATTAACCAAATCAAACCAGTCCTGATAAGCCCTTAACCTTACGTGTCACTGTGGGCCCTTAACCTAACCTGTCACTGGGCCCTTAACCTAACTTAATCTGTCCTGATGGGCCCTTAACCTTACCGAATCTGTCCTGATGGGCCCTTAACCTAACTTGTCACGGTGGGCACTTAACCTAACTTATCACGGTGGGCCCTTAACCTAACCTGTCACTGTGGGCCCCTAACCTAACCTGTCCTGATGGGCCCTTAACCTTACCGAATCTGTCCTGATGGGCCCTTAACCTAACCTGTTCTGATGGGCCCATAACCCAACCACTCCTAATCTGTCTATATTCTATCTTAACCATGAGACTCGTGTTCTATTGGGCCCCCCCTAGCTTTATCATTATAACTGGGGGTCGTTTTAATAGGAACCTAACCTAACCTAACCATACCATTAGATTTGAGGGTCTGCTTCTAAATGTCATATACGCTATCCTAAAACGGGAGAAGTCAAACGGGCCCCAAGTTCTAATAGGCTCCTAACCTGAGTATATTACCTGGGGCCCGTTGTTAATCAGTCTTTAATGGGAAGTAATTATCAGGATTGTGGTAGGTACTGAAACTGATTAAGCGGTTCTAATCATTAGCTTAGGGTGGTTGGGTAATGTAGTGGTGTAGTAGTCGTGGTGATTGTGGTAGATTGTGGTAGTCTTGATAATTGTGGTGGTAGGTTGTGGTAGTCTTAATAATTGTGGTGGTAGGTTGTGGTAGTCTTGATAATTGTGGTGGTAGGTTGTGGTAGTCTTGATAATTGTGGTGGTAGGTTGTGGTAGTCTTTATAATTGTGGTGGTAGAAGTTATAGTATAGTTGTAGTGATTATAGTGGTGGTGGTGGTGGTGGTGGTAGTAGAAGTGGTTTTGGTAGTAGTGGTGGTGGTGGTGGTGGTAGTAGTTGTGGTAGTAGTAGTGGTAGTAGAGGAACCAAACCCATATGTAACTACGTAAACAATATATTATTCATTGTATCTAATTAAATGTAACTACGGCTCGGGTACTTTCCCTTACCTGCTGTGGTTGGAGGGGTGGGAAGACGTAGGGAAAGGAGTTTAAATGCATACAGACCTTTAACAAAATCGATGTGTGTGTGTGTGTGTGTTTGGAAAGGTCATGGGAAAATTAGTTTCTTTCATTATAGATAAAGTTCAGTCGGTGACTTTTTTCCCCCTGTTTTTTTCCCCTTTTCTGCCAATCTGTGTTTATTTATTTATTCTCTCTCTCTCTGTTCCTCCTTTCTGGTAATGGGGGTGGAGGGTGGTGTGGGCAGATGTGGGCGGATAATGCTGAGGGAGGAAGGGAAGGAGGGAGGGAGGTGGTCCAGAACGAAGCCATTGAAATTGGTCACAGGTGAAAGATACCGAACCCCGGCACCGAACCCCGACACCGAACCCCGACACCGAACCCCGACCCTTTAAACTCGGCACGGATACATGGGACTAAGACTAATCAACCAGCAGACACACCTGAACCACAGCAGAGAACACACACACACACACCTGAACCACAACAGAGAACACACACACACACCTGAACCACAGCAGAAACACACACACACACCTGAACCACAACAGAGAACACACACACACCTGAACCACAACACACACACACACAGACCACAGCAGAGAACACACACACACACACACACACACAACAGAGAACACACACACACACCTGACCACAACAGAGAACACACACACACCTGAACCACAGCAGAGAACACACACACACCTGAACCACAACAGAGAACACACACACACACACACACACACACACTGAACCACAACAGAGAACACACACACACACACACCTGAACCACAGCAGAGAACACACACACACACACACCTGAACCACAGCAGAGAAACACACACACACACACACTGAACCACAGCAGAGAACACACACACACACACACTGAACCACAGCAGAGAACACACACACACACACACACACACAACCACAGCAGAGAACACACACACACACACCTGAACCACAACAGAGAACACACACACACACACACACACACACACACTGAACCACACAGAACACACACACACACACACTGAACCACAACAGAGAACACACACACACACACACCTGAACCACAACAGAGAACACACACACACACACACACACACACTGAACCACAACAGAGAACACACACACACACCACAACAGAGAACACACACACACACACCTGAACCACAACAGAGAACACACACACACACACTGAACCACAACAGAGAACACACACACACACACCTGAACCACAACAGAGAACACACACACACACACACACACTGAACCACAACAGAAACACACACACACACACACACACCTGAACCACAACAGAGAACACACACACACACACACACACCTGAACCACAACAGAGAACACACACACACACACACCTGAACCACAACAGAGAACACACACACACACACACCCACAACAGAGAACACACACACACACACCTGAACCACAACAGAGAACACACACACACACACACTGAACCACAACAGAGAACACACACACACACACACCTGAACCACAACAGAGAACACACACACACACACTGAACCACAACAGAGAACACACACACACACACACACACACCTGAACCACAGAGAACACACACACACACACAACACACCTGAACCACAACAGAGAACACACGCATACACACCTGAACCACAACAGAGAACACACACACACACACACACACACACACCTGAATCACAACACGAGAAAAGAAACAATTTTATACCTAATTATCAAAGCCAGGCAATAGATAACCTAACCTAACCCTCTCAAAAATTTTTACTTTATGAAGTTGTCATTATTATTAGTAGTAGCTGCAGTAGTTGTAGTACAAGTAGTAGTAGTAGTAGTAGTAATGACGTCATCACTAGAACTACTCGGGTACCTCTCCACATTTTTAATTTCCGACCTGTCAATACCCTTCCTCCTCCTCCTCCTCCTCATCCTCTATTCTTCCTCCTACTCTTTCTCTACAAGAAGAAGAAGAAAAAAGTAGTGGAGGACACAGTAGGTGGGGGGGGTTGGGGGGTTGGATATAAGCAGAGCGCGTCACGTCCAGAGGTTCAGAACACCACTGGTTGCCGTCGAGCCAGGAGGCAGACGAAGCCACTGTAAAAGACTTGTGTGCGTGCGTGCGTGTGTTTGTTTACGTGTAGGCCTCCAACGACCAATGACACTAGTACACCATCTCTCTCTTTCAACGCAAGAGCCAACTACACGATTAACGAACGCTTAACGACCCTAGCGGGAATTAAACTGAACTGACTTAATATACTTAAGTGATATCAAGTTTATAGTGCAGCAAAGGTTAACACTCGTGGTGACAAAGGGACCTCCAAAATATACAACAACTCAAAGGTCATACTTGTAGGTCGTGCTCGAACGTCATACTGGAAGGTCGAGTCGACATTTCGAGGACATCTGACAACACACACCTGACGCAGTGGAAGTGACGATTGGTATATCTGACAGTGAAGGCAGGTGTGTGTGTGGGGGTGTGTGACTGGTGTATGTGTGCGTGGGTGGCAGATTTCTCCTCTTACACCTGTGGGCCAAACACCTGCTGTAGCCACACGTGTACAGAGGTTCGGGTGGTGTAGAAGTCGCTGTAGAAGGAGACGCCATGGCCACGTACGCTACTTATCGTCACGTCGAGTTGGATCGAGTTGGCTTAGGGAAACGGAGGTGAGCTGAACCACTAACACACGTGGGTGTAGGTGGGTGTTGTGCTTGTAGATGGGTGTGTTGTGCTTGTAGGCGAGTGTATTGTGCTTGTAGATGGGTGTAGGTGTTGATTTAAACCACTAATGTACGTGTGTATCATTCCATCCACGGGGGTGTAGTGGGTCTAACGTCAGGGTTCCTTATACACACACACACAATCTACACAGGTTTCCAGCAATTAATTGGGGTTTCCAGCATGAGGCTAAAGCAACTAATTGGGGTTTCCAGTAACTAAATGAGGTTTCCGGGAACACGTAGCTCCAGGCTTCCAGGAACACTTATCTTCTTAGTGTTGAAGATTGGCCAATTCTGCACTCGCTTGTGAGGCTTCTGTGTTTCTCAGCAGAAGCCTGTGTGTGTGTGTGTGTGTGTGTGTGTGTGTGTGTGTGTGTGTGTGTACACGTACTCATAAATGTGCACATGTTCTGTGTTTTCGTCTCATAAGTGTACATAATACTAATCTGTACGTCTTAAAAGTGTGTACACGCTACTAGTGTGTACGTCTTAAAAATGTGTACACGCTACTAGTGTGAATGTCTTACAAGTATGTACATATTCAATGTGTACGTCCCATATGTACGTGTTATTAGTGTACACGTAACTAAAATGTACGTCTGGGTTATATTTATATATTATGTACGTATTGAGTGTGTACATGTGTATATATTACTGTGTACGTGTAGTAAGTGTACATGTGTATATATTTTTATTACGATACAAAATATAAATCGAATAAAATTTATATTACTGAGAATGTTTATACTGGAAAGATTCTTCAAACCTATTCTAGTATTTCCAGTACATATTTCATAATACAAACTATACACACTATCCTATACAAACTATATACATTATTATAGCCCCTCGGACACACACACACACACACACACACACACAGACAGACAGACAGACTAACCGGGATCTGATGTTTCCTAAGATATTCCCCCAAGTGATCGCTATATTATCCTTTACCGCAGTGCATAACCATAACAAGCTGGTCTGTGGGGGGATGGTGTGTGGTGGGTTGGTGTGTGGTACGGGATTGGTGGTGGTATTGTGTGGTTGCTACTACTACCACCACCACTACCACTACCACCACTACCACCACCAGCAGCACACAGGTAAGCAGTATAAGGTAGTAGTGGTGGTGTCAGGTTACCAGGAAGACCCGAGTGGTAGTAGTCACCCTCCAGCCTTCCGGTATCACATCCTCCGAGTGTCACCCCTCATCCTCCGTGAGGGGGAAGAGAAGACCTGTAGAGGAGGGGGAGAGAAGACCTGTGGTGGAGGAGGAGACGACGACGACAGGTGTGATTGGGCCCAGGTGGCATTGAACACTCATTCACTCACTCACTCACTCACCCACCCACCCACCCACACTCACTCACTCACTCACTCTCACACCCACCCACTCTCACATCCACCCACTCTCACACTCCACCCACTCTCACACCCACCCACTCTCACACCCACCCACTCTCACACCCACCCACTTCACACCCACCCACTCACACCCACCCACACACCCACACACTCACTCTCACACACCCACACACCCACACACACACACACACGTTATCCTACACAACATTACTTAACATAATTTATAAGTGGTAGAGATTTAAGTGTTGTAGTATAAGTGGCCGGAGTATACGAAGTGGTAGGGCGTAACACTTAACAGGCGGTAACGCTTTAGTGGTACGCGGTAACGCTTAAGTGGTAGGAGGTAACACTTAAGTGGTAGGAGGTAACGCTTAAGTGGTAGGAGGAACACTTAAGTGGTAGGAGGTAACACTTGAGGGATGTATAACACTTACGTGACGTAGGGTCTAAACATTTAAGTGGTAGGGGGCAATACTTGTGACAGAGGGTAACACTTTGAAGTGGTATGGTTATCACTTAAGTGGTAAGGGTAATACCTGAATGGCAGAGACAATACTTAAGTGGCAGAAGGTATGTGTAATATTTAAGTGTTACGTGTATTAAGTATTAGGGGTAACACTTAAGTGGTATGAGTAACGAGGATGGAGGGGGTGAGGAGATGGTGGTCGCGTCCCAGTGATCAATAGCTCCCGACGCAGCTTCCCTCACCTCTGGTGGTGGGGAGAGGGCTGTGGTGGGGAGAGGGGGGGGGAAGAGAGTTGTTGGAGAGGGCGGTTGAGATTGTAGGGAACGAATTGGTGGGATGGGGAAAGGGGGGTGGTTTGTAGGTGTGTAATGGTAATGGTTGGGTAGAGGGATTGTGGTCGATAAATGGTGGTTGTGATGGTAGATTAGATTAGGTCAGGTCAGGTCACGTGTACCAAATATTAAACTACCACCCATATATGGGACAGGGTAGGCTGTCTAGTGCCTGTACCGACAGACAATAACTAACTCATGACACAACCCTAACACACTATTAGCTTAGTCAGCCCGCCCTCTCTTACCTCCTCCTAAACTTCCTCAATTTCCGAACTATAACTTCCTGCCCCACCTTCCTTCACCCCTCCTTTCTCTACAAAAACAAAAAACACACTATCCGCATCCCCACCCACTACCCCACCTACCACCACCACCACCACCACCTACCACCTCCCCACCACCTACCACCACCCACCTCCACCACCCACCACCACCTCTACCCACCACCTACCACCACCACCACCTCTACCACCACCACCTCTACCCACCACCACCTCTACCCACCACCCACCACCACCTCTACCCACTACCCCACCACCACCTCCTCCACTACCCCACCACCACCACCACCTCACCCCACCACCACCACCACCTCTACCCACCACCACCACCACCTCACCCACCACCACCACCACCTCTACCCACCACCACCACCTCTACCCACCACCACCACCACCTCTACCCACCACCACCTCTACCACCACCACCACCACCTCTACCCACCACCACCACCACCTCTGCCCACCACCACCACCACCTCTACCCCACCACCACCACCTCTACCCACCACCACCTCTACCCCACCACCACCTCTACCCACCACCACCACCTCTCCACCACCACCACCTCTACCCACCACCACCACCTCTACCCACCACCACCACCTCTACCCACCACCACCTCTACCCACCACCACCACCTCTACCCACCACCACCACCTCTACCCACCACCACCACCTCTACCCCACCACCACCACCTCTACCCACCACCCACCACCTCTACCCACCACCACCACCCTCTACCCACCACCACCACCTCTACCCACCACACTCTACCCACCACCACCACCTCTACCCACCACCACCACCTCTACCCACCACCACCACCACCTCTCACCACCACCACCTCTACCCACCACCACCACCTCTACCCCACCACCACCACCTCTACCCACCACCACCTCTACCCACCACCTCTACCCACCACCACCTCTACCACCCACCACCACCACCTCTCCCACCACCACCACCTCTACCACCACCACCTCTACCCACCACCACCACCTCTACCACCACCACCTCTACCCACCACCACCACCTCTACCCACCACCTCTACCCACCACCACCACCTCTACCACCACCACCACCACCTCTACCCACCACCACCACCTGCCACCACCACCACCACCTCTACCCACCACCACCACCACCTCTACCCACCACCACCACCTCTACCCACCACCACCACCACCTCTGCCACCACCACCACCACCACCTCTACCCCACCACCTACCACCACCTCTACCCACCACCACCACCACCTCTACCCACCACCACCACCACCTCTACCCACCACCACCACCACCACCACCTCTCACCCACCACCACCCACCTCCCACCCCCACCACCACCACCTCTACCCCACCACCACCACCACCTCTACCCACCACCACCACCACCTCTACCCACCACCACCACCACCTCTACCCACCACCACCACCACCTCTGCCACCACCACCACCACCACCACCTCTACCCACCACCACCACTACCTCTACCACCACCACCACCACCTCTACCCACCACCACCACCACCTCTACCCCACCACCACCTCTACCACCACCCACCACCACCTCTACCACCACCACCTCTACCCACCACCACCACCACCACCACCACCACCTCTACCCACCACCACCACCTCTACCCACCACCACCCACCTCTACCCACCACCACCACCTCTGCCACCACCACCACCTCTACCCACCACCACCACCTCTACCACCACCACCATCCACCTCACCCACCACCACCACCACCACCTCTACCACCACCACCACCTCTACCCACCACCACCTCTACCCACCACCACCACCTCTACCCACCACCACCACCACCTCTACCCACCACCACCACCACCTCTACCCACCACCCTACCACCACCTCCACCTACCACCACCTCTACCCACCACCACCACCTCTACCCACCACCTCTACCCACCACCTCTACCCACCACCACCACCACCACCTCCTCCTCTACCCACCACCACCACCTCTACCTACCACCACTACAAGTGTGAAAATCAGATTCAGGTGTTCGGAGATTAATGACATTGAATTTTAACCTTGATGACACACACACACACACACACATCGCCGGAAATAAACATCAATTACCACGTTGGCTTAATTACTAGACTGCCACGTTCAAGGTTTTAAACATTGTAGAGTCACGTTCAAGTTAAACATCTGACTAAACATTAGTCACGTTCGTCTAAACAATAATTGGAACACTAAACATTTTTCTCGTCAGGTAATAAATGTTTGAGTTGTTACTGAACAATAAGAGCTTCGTCATCACTACTGGAGGAGGAAAGAAGGGAGGAGGAGGAGGAGAAGAAGGGAGGAGGAGGAGGAGGAGGAGGAGAGAAGGAGGAGGAGGAAAGGAGGAGGAGGAGGAGGAGGAGGAGAGTGATGAAGGGTATGAGAGAAGAAGCAAGAATAATAATGAGGAGGAGTAGAGGTGAAGGAAGAATAAGGAAGGAGGAGGAGG